CTCAGCTTTTCATTCAAAGTGTCTGTTAACCTGTTGAGAAGGGTCCACAGAGAAATAAAACAGTTTTCGACAACTTTTTCTTGATCCCGCCCCCCCCATCATGTTGTTATTGTGACAACGGTTGAATCGTTGGTTAAGAAAGGACTAACTGTGTTTGGAGAACAGAGCGCTCTGCTGTGTTATCTCAAAGATGTTCATGGATAAACGTTAAGGCTAATGTTGACAATGTGGAAGAGGCCTAACCCTCTGGTAATATTTCAGAACATGACGCAATAACAAACAGACCAAGTCCAAGGTGAAGAAAACACTTTTAGGACCTTTTCCATGTTGTCAGACACTTGGAATGAAAATCAGAGCCTATCAGCAGCAAAAACAAACTCTTAGTGGACGTGCATTTCCCCGCTGCAGCACTCTAACTTAATACTGGACCGGTTGTTGTTTAATTTGTCACTTTAATTTGACACCACAATATGGGGAAATGGAGTCTAGGTTGAAAAGCACTAACGGAAACTAAAGGTGGGCGAGCAGCGATGCTAGAGAAAGCTCCAAGTTGCTGTAACGATGGTGGTCTTATCCACTCGTAGGATCAAACTAATATGGGAACTCAGTGCCAACTGCTTGCAAATATTTAATTTCTGTTGAAGGGTGGCGATGTAATCTGAGCTAAACGTACTACACAGACCAGCAGCCAAATTCTACAAACTCCCTGATTTACTTTGTATATAAAGCTAGTACTAAAACAATGGCCACGTCTCAGAAAAAGAGCAGGGCTGACAATAACAAGTTCAATCTGTTATATAATATATATAAATATCTATCTATACAGCTTACATGGTTAATTCAGTATAATGAACTTTTCCACAGGACTGATTCCATCAGAACAAGTCATGATATAATCAACTCTCTGTTTCTCTAATTTAACCAAAATAATCAACCTTTAATCAAATCCAGTCTTCTTTGCCTTACTCAAGATGAGTGTGACACTAGACTCGACCCTTCCTGATGTTTTTCACATCAAAAGCCTACATATAAAAGACAGTAAGGCATAGGAAGCTTCGTGCATTGTAGTTTGACATGGTTCAGGGGGAAATGCAACGTAACCCCTGACATGACTGTAATCAATAATGTGGAAAATTATATTATGCAAAAAACTATCACTACAAACGGTTAACATGTAGAAGATTCAGTAGGGAATATTACTGAGGTCAATTTGAATGCCATTAACTTGCTAGCTGCTACACACAGATCAGTTCTTCTCCTCACTTCTTCAGTAGTTTCTGGTTGTTGTGTGTAGTCTGGCTGCAGGGACAGAGGGCTGTTGATGAAGCTGATAATGATTTAATACTGAAGATGTGGCGCCTGCTAACCCATCTGTTGGTTAGCCTTAGAGCACTTGAAATGATTTGCAAAAACGTTCTTTTTATTTAATTTGAAGGCCATATCGTTGTTTTGTTAAACTGATCTATTTTTACAGGAATCCTTGTGTCACTAAAATATTATTTCTTTGTAACTATTCAGGTATTAAGAATGAGATGCTGCAATTGTTTACATGTGAAATATTGCACCTGTTTTTACTGATTAAAAAAAAAATCATCTTTCATCTAAAAGTCCTCCTTTTGTTGATATCTAGGAATGAAGGTAAAAAATACAAAATGTCCTTTGCTCCCATATCTGATATACAATTCATGCATTTCTTTGTTTTATCAGTTGCTTCTTACTGAATACACACCATAAGAAGCACTATGAAGTAAAGATTGCATCGATGTTCCTTCAGTAACGCGACACACTGTAGTTCATTTTACATTTGCACAGGGGCCATGCATACATATACATTCATCTCAAAGGGAAACGATGCTTTATTAGTTCATTTCCATATGCAGTCCTTGTGCATGCGAAGCACATATTAACAGTTTAATTGTTTATTGTATACTTTTACCAACTTTGACACATTTTGTGTTAACTTTTGATACTTTAAAGGTGGGGTAGGTAATTTTGGAGAAACCAGCTCGAGTGCTCTAGAATTTGAAAATACACAGCCGGAAGAAATCTGCCACTTCCTTACAGAGCCCCTCCTCCAACACACACGAACGCGCACATGACCAATGAGGGCACAAGATAAGTTTGTGCCCAGATGGAAGGCTGACAGGCAGGTAGGCCATCCAGTTATTTTAGCCGGGCCGGCTAAAATGATTGGTCGTGCTTTTTACAGTACTACGGCTTCCACAGATGAAATTTTTTTATGGATTTTTGGTCAAAGCACTTCAGATATTCATTGCTATCGGGATGTTAAGAGCATTCCATGGAATATAACAAAAAGTGTATCTCGAGCCGGTTTCTCAAACTTACCTACCCCACCTTTAAGTAAATGTTGCTAATAATAACCAGGACTTTCTTGCTTACTTGCAGTATTTTTAGACTATGCTATCTCTGCTTTTACTTCAGTAAAGAATGAGTACTTGTTTCACTACATATTAATCTGTATCTTAAAGCTCCCATCACATGCTTTTCCGGTTATTACCCGTCCCCTTGTGTGTTATGAAAGTTTTTCTGCATATAAACGGTCTGCAGAGTCAAAAACCCTCAAAGTACACCCTGTAGCGAGTAAAACTCTAACACAGAAAAGACCTGTCTATGCTGCCCCAGAACGCCTCGTTGGAGATTTCTCATTTTCCATTTTTTCCTTCCCGGGTACAGTGACGTGACCATACCCAAATGGAACAATCTGCGTAGCCGTTACGTTACGTCCGCGGAGCCGTTACGTGCCAACACGGCACCCAGACCCCACGCAGCATTCTCATCTGTTTGTCATTACTGGTGTCATTTTCTGGTTGCTAACAAACACCATTGTAACACATAAACACTGATGTCCAGCTGTAACGGTGGTTGACTAATCAGAACAGAGTGGGCGAGCTGACCAATCAGAGCACAGTGGGCTCATAGGGAGGGGGGGCAGGAGCTCCAACAAGCCGTTTAGGACAGAGAGTGAATACACATCCTATACAGAGATGCTGTATGAGAAACCAATGTGAGTTTGGAAAATTGAACAATGTAAATCTATTCTAGTAGACCTCAACAATGGAATTATGATCAGTAGCAATGGCCATGACATGGGACCTTTAAAACAACTCCCAATAATGTGTCATTTACGTCTATTTGACAGTGTTTGATAAAAACTACGATGCCAAGCCTTTCAAGAAATAACCAACACCTTTTAAAAAATATATAATATATTCTTGGCCTTTAAAAAAAAAATAGATTTATGTTTGTATGAAGGTATGTCCTTGGTGCTGAAGGGACATCCCGTAGCGCTGTGTTCAGCAAAGAGTTAAATGCCAGATTGAATTGGAGCAGTCGGAGTCATGTGCTGCTCATTTCAGTCTGAATGGAGAGGTATTAGTCTTTAGTTGCATGCACTGCAAGTCTCTCAGACACAGGGATGTTGTAAATGTTTTCAAGTTGACCAGATACTTATACATCTTATGTTCCTTCATTCTTAAAAATAGCTTTTACTACTTTCTTATGTGACGAAATGCCTTGTAAAAACATCAGTATGTGTTTCACTTTAACAGATGGTAGTTGTTTATTTCCATTTGAAGAGGTCATTTGCACCCATCTCTATTTCTATCATGAGGAAATGACTGTGGAGATTTAAGAAATCAAATCAACCTAAAACATATGTATGTGTTTTTTTATTGGCATGTGTATATATATATACTGTTGCAAAAAAACCGATATCATGTCAAAGGTTAGCATGTAAGAGATTTCCTCTCATGCACCGATGTGGGAAATAGGAAATCTATGATTGTTGTTATAAAAGTATTTCCTCGCTCATTTGATTTGTGGCAGGGTTGGGTCAGAGAAGTTCACACAGGAGGCAATTCAGCAATCTCATGACTTCAGGGGAAGAGAAGGAGGTGTAGCCGGCGGTGGGGAAAACTCTGGAGTCAGACTTTACTCTACAACGACTGTAAGTACTCTGCTTTATTTAGAAACTGTTCATTTGTTTAACTAATAGTATTTATAGGATTTTAAGCTATCTGTAAGATATTTGTCCGCGTTACAGTGTGAACTGTGTTGCACTATAACAAGTAACAATGTTTAATTCCATACTGTATAGGTGTACTGTACGTCTTACTTGCATGGTTAATGAGGCTCACAAGGTTCAAGGTTCTTTATTTTGTCATACGAACATAGCTACAGAGTAGTTATGCCGATGAAAATCTTAGGTCAAAGGCTTCTCCAACAGAGCAACACAATAACACAGATACACAGAAAAATATAGTATACAAGAGTCACATAGTGATTTGAGAATATGTTCTACATTACATGTCACTTGTTAGACGCTTTTATCCAAAGTGACTTACATACTCAATACTGTGTGCAATCCCCACAGGAGCAATTTGAGGTGAAGTGTCTTCAGGGACACAACGACATGCTGACTGCAGTGGGGTTTGAACCTGTGACCACTTGATCCGAAAACCAACACACAACCCACTGCACCACACGCCTCCCTAGGATTCTAGGAATCAAAAATGTTCCTGCACACAAACAAAACCACCTGATTAAAAATACCTCCCAAACTGAAAAAAAAATGTGTTCTCCTTTAAATAATGTTCAAACTGTTAAAAAATAATGCCTTATTATTTTTGTCAAAATAGAGGCAGTCAATAACCGAAGGTTGAAAGATTTCAAAGATGTATGATTACTTATATTGATGACATCTATTTAGGAACACCCAGCCATATGCTGTAGTATTGTAAAGTATTTACATATGTACATTTCATTTATTTTAATCTAATATAATTGGGGCCTTCTCTATGCTGCTACCACTGCTTTTACCACTACTTATTGTATTCCTATTTATTTTACTGCATTGAGAGAAGCCTATGACATTGTTTGTGCCTGAGAATGATGACAATACGTATAATCTGATTCTGATATACGTTGCATTTGTGATCACTACAATAATTTACTAAATAATTAAAAAGTATGTACATGTTGCAGCCCTATACCTAAATGTTTGATACGATTTATTTACAGGAACTATGGCAAATGCACAAATACCAGTGGGTGAGTCTATACCGGCTGTACGACAGAACACATGGGTTGCTCCTCATTATTAAAAAGCTCCAATATCCTGTAACTTTTTTAGAAATTCTAACTCTTATCACAACGTTTTGTGACACACTCGAGGCTTTTATTGTCATTTGTACATAGTGTAGTTATGACAATGAAAATCTTAGATCACAGGATTTGCATTGTCATAACTACACTGTAGCTATGTTGACAATAAAAGCCTTGAATCCTTGAAAAAAAAAACCCCCCATGTGTTCTGTTGTACTTCACTTCTCCTCCCTCCTGATGCTGAGCAGTGGCAGTCGGTCCTCTGGGGGACGGTCCGGTCCAGGTGTCCTGTCCTCAGTGCCGTCAGACGGTCCTCTCCCAGGTGCATCACTCCTCCGGGCTGCTCACCTACCTGCTCTGTGGAGGACTCTTCTTCTGTGGGTGAAGAGGGGTGGAGCGTAACTGGGTTCATTATAATATTCATATTTCAGTGCTTTTTCTACTTTATATGAATATTGTTGTGATAATTCAGCATTTTCTTTATTGAAAAGTCGCATTTACCATATATTGTTACTAAACTCGACAAGGAGGACACACTACTTTTATTGGCTTTTTGGGGTTTGTCTGTTTTATATGAAAACCTTTATGAACAAATCTAAGGTTTTTTAAGTAACAACTCTCCTTGCCATGCGTCTTTATGACTCCAGATTGTTGTAGAACTAAATAACTACTCAAGACATCCTTAGTTTTTTAGGATTTTAGTATTTCTTCTATTTTATATTTAATACAATTCTCAAAAAAGGTGCAGTTCTTAATTGAAAACTCTTGGATTTGTATAATAGCTTCCATAACATGTAACCCAATGACTCCAAGTAGTATGCATCTCTTTATATTGGATTTTTGACATTGACTTTCTTATAAAAAAGGAAACTGTTTCTCTATTGAAAAGTCACATGTTTCTTCAAAGAAATTATTTTAACTAAATTCAGCTTTTTTTGTTGATAAATCTCATTTTATTTTCAATATTAATGTTGTTATGAAATAAATTAATGACACTTTATTAAAGGGTGGTATTTCTCAAAACAGATGTGATTTACTCGTCCAGTGTAGTATTACAATGTTGCCTTGATCTGGAGTCATTCGGTCACATGACATAGAGGCTATTGAAAAG